CACTATTTGCTACAAAGTCTATTCATTATCTATTAATTTGCCTTTACACTTTCGTCTCATATGAGTTGACTATATTTGTGTCTATTTCTGGGCTCTGTATTCGGTTCCACTGTTTATATGTCTATCTTTTCATCAATACAACTTGTATTGATTGCTACAATTTTATAGTTTGTGTTGAAATTGGGTTGTGTGAATCTTCCAACTTTGTTATTCTCTTTTGGAATTGCTTTGGCTATAGAAATTTTGGAACCAACTTGCTGGGGTGTTAATTAGGATTGTGTTGAATCTACATATCAAATTTGGGACAATTGTTATTTTAACAATATTGAGTCTTCCACTCCATCAACATGGTATATCTCTCCATTTATTTAAAATTTCTTTGATTTTATTCATCAGTGTTTTGTAGTTTGTAGCCTACAGATCTTACACATATTTTGTTACGTTTATATTTAAATACATTTTTCTTTTACTCTGATAATATGGTGGGGTTTTAATTGATTGATTTTTGAACGTTGAACAAATTTTGTATCCCTGGTGTGAACTCCACTTGGTTGTGATGTATTATCCTCTAAATATTGCTGGATTTGATTTATGAATATTTTGCTTAGGATTTCTGCATCAACGTTCATGAGAGATATACTGGGTTGTCGGAAAAGTCATGACGTATTTTTTCTATGTTTTTCATCACAAAAGTGCATCATGACTTTTCCGACAACCCAATAGTTTGGTAGTTTTCTTGTAATTTTTTTTTCTGGTTTGGTGTTAGGGTAATGCTGGCTGCTCTTATAAAATGAGTTAGGAAGTTTTCCCTCCTTTTCTATATTCTGGAAAACATTGTATGGAAAATTGTTATTTCTTCCTTTAANTGTTTTTCATCACAAAAGTGCATCATGACTTTTCCGACAACCCAATAGTTTGGTAGTTTTCTTGTAATTTTTTTTTCTGGTTTGGTGTTAGGGTAATGCTGGCTGCTCTTATAAAATGAGTTAGGAAGTTTTCCCTCCTTTTCTATATTCTGGAAAACATTGTATGGAAAATTGTTATTTCTTCCTTTAAAATTTGGTAGAATTTTCCTGTGAAGCCAACTGTGCCTAAAATTTTCTTTTAGGGAAAACTTTAAGTACAAAATCAATTTCTTTAATCGGTATAGCAGTTTTAACATTATCTATTTATACTTGAATGAGTTTTGGTAGTTTGTGCTTCTCTAGGAATTTGCCCATTTCATCCAAATTATAGAATTTATGGGCATGGAATTGTTTGCAGTGTTCCCTTATTATCCTTGTAATGTCTGGGATATCCCCTCTTTCATTCCTGATATTAATAATGTGTGTCTTCTATTTTTTTCCTCATCAATGTGGCTATAGGTTTATCAATTTTATTGATTTTTCAAAGAATCAGCATTTAGTTTCATTGATTCTTAGTTGTTTTTCTGTTTTCAATTGTATTGATTTCTGTTCTGATATTTGTAATTTTCTTACTTTTACACACTTTTAGTCTAACTTGATCTTCTTTTTCTAGTTTCTTAATGTGGAAGATTAAATTGTTGATATGACTTTTCTTCTTTTCTAATATGTAAGTATTTAACTCTATAAATTTCTGTCTAACTACTGTGTTAGCAATTTCCTACAAATTTTAATGTGTTATATTTTCATCCATTCAAAATGTGTTTTTAATGGTCCTTGAGACTTCCTAACTGACCCATGGGTTATTTAGAATGTTGTGTTTAATTTCAAAATATTTGGAGGAGTTTCCCAACATCTTTCTGTTATTGTTTTCTAGTTTAATCCCATTATGGTCTGAGAATATGCTTTGTATGATTTCTACTCTTTTATTTAATGGCTCAGAATATGGTCTATCTTGGTGAATGTCCCATGTTCACTTGAAGTGTAATTCTGCTGTTGTGTGAAGTGTTCTATAAATGTCATTAGGTCTAATTA